TGTGAAATTCTGTGATTTGGCCAGAATTATGCAAGATCAGCCAACATTACGATTCGCAAATTCTGGCCAAACTTAATGTCAACCAGCATACAAATCTAAATCAGGAAAATTATCATCATTTTTTATAATGATTTTCCCGTGAAATTCTGAGAAACAGAAACCGCAGATGATTTCTTCAAGTGGAATGATCAGCAGGTGACAGATCGACGAGTATATATTGTATCGTTGTATCGTTGTATGGAGGCTTAAAAACTAAATCATTACTTTATTTTACTTTTTGACTTTGACTTTTTGACTTTTTTTCGTTCATTTACCCCGTTACTCTTTTTCAAGATGTCGCATACAGATACGACAATCCTTATTAATAATTCAAACCCGCCGTAAGTTCTAGTATTTTTTTTTGTAAAATTATTTTACGTCTAATTACCTTATAATGAATTTTTTTTTTTTAAAAAAAAAAAAGAATCACTCCCCATACACAATATTCTCTTTCAAAAAAAGAAGTTGTTCACGGAATAGCAAACAGAATTATATATTCAAGATTTTATACCTGGTTATATTTAGGAATGGCTTTACTTAGTTCGACTTCCATCATTCTGGTTTGTTGAAGTTTCTTTTCATTTTGTTATTATATCATAAATCGATTGTAACATCTCCCCCCTTTTTACAATAGTCATTAACAGAAAGATGGTATGTATATTTTTAAAGAAATTTTCTTTCATATGAAAAGAAGCTAATTTGATCTATTAAATTTGAACTTTTTATATTTTTAGTCCGACACTAGGATTTATCATTCTTGAAATTATAATTAACACAGTAATGATAGTAGAAGTTGGAACACGATTCTTGGCATTAGGAAAGGTTTTTACGTCAACCTTTATTATTTGAACACTTATCTATAATCACAATTTCGAAAGGAGCATTAATATCCTCTTCATATTCTAGTTATTCTGGAATTCTATATACAACATATTCGATATAATCCTCGTAGCCTTATGTATTATTACCTTATTATTTATCATTGGAGGTGGATGTTCTCACAAGGGAGAAGAAATAATTGATTCAATTTTATTGATTGCAAGAAATTTGATACAATTTGGAAGAATATTTGTAATGTTAAGAAAGTAAGTCGAGAATTTTAATTTTTAACAACTTTTTTTATTTTAAAAATATCATCCAATGATTTGTTTCTCTCTTTTCATGAAATAGAAATAAGAAGAATAGAAAGACTCGTAATGCGACGGTAGATTTTTCTAATGTTAGAGACCCAAGTGTCTCGATGGATGTCGATTCAATGGATCATGGACCATTTTTGTTAGATGATGAAGACGATATCTTTTAAATAAAACGTGTTCTTTATGCTACTATTAGAAATATGTATCTTATTTAAGTTTTTCTTTATTGTCTGAAAATAAATAAATAAATGAATGAATGAATGAAACTTTAATAGATTAAGACCAATTCATCCAATTCCATAAAGAAAGTTCTAGTTTTTGATGATCTAAATTTTTTCCAATAAGAACTAACTTATCTTTAACCATTTCATTATTGTTAAACGAAGGATGAGTTTGTTGTAAATCATACAGTTCTTGAACACCCTGAATTACAATGCGTGAATCTGAGCCTTCACTAGGAGTTAGAATACCTTTAAGTCTAAGGATAACGATAGTATCAGAAGAAGTTATCATTGGAATAGTCTTTTCCCATAATAAATATTGTATCCAACGTTCAATTTTCGATATATCAATATTTGTAACAGGAAATTCCGACAGGCATATGGTTTTTACGTCTTCTATCTGATGAGATTCTGTTACAGATTTCAAGATTTTTGATTCTGAACTTAACGCAGTAACTTGTTTAAAATCAAAAGCATGAATGTCTAAAATGAAATCCAATGGAACTTTTGACTTTTCTGTTCTTAAAATATTTGCAGCCGAGTTGATCAATCTATTAAGAAACTCATCAGCAAGTATAAGATGTTATCATAAACATGACCAAAATAAGACGCATTACCTTATTTGTTCTTGAACGATGTCTAATGTTGACGGAGTAACTAAATCTGTTTTATTAATTATTATTCTATCTGCTATCGCCACTTGTCTTATCGCTTCGTTTATTGATCCGTCTTTCTTTTTCTCTGATAAATACTTTAATAAAAAGGTCATTAATAAAATTAAAATTATGGTATATTATAATGCGTCCCATTCATAAAATTTACTTGTTGAATATATTTCGCATCCACTAATGTTATTATGCCATCCAAGTATAAATCACTTCCCAATTCATCGTCTAACCAAAACATTGAAGCTATTGGTCCTGGATCTGCTAATCCGGTTGTCTCCAATAAAATATAATCGAATTTTCCTCTCTTTTGCATTAAATTTTCAATGGCTTTAACTCCATTATCTCTATAAAAGTTATTCACTTATCTTTTATTATATGAGCTTTTGTTTAAAAGAGAGAAACCAATATATAAATAGACTTACTTGACGGAACAACATAAACAACCGTTCTTTAATTCCAACCATTCTTCATATAAATCATCACCTTGATTTATTGTCAAGGATTTTTCTATTCCGCTGCTTTCTCCAAATTCGTTTAATATTACCGCCATTCTTTTGCCATGTTGCTCTGTCAAAATGTAATTGAGTAAGGTAGTTTTACCAGATCCAAGAAAACCCGTAACTATTGTTATTGGAACTTTTGCTTCAAGCGTTTTGTTGTCTTTATTTTCATGAACAGGGTTGCTTTTTTTTACAAACAAATGAATAGTTAGATTTACGGTTACAGGTATCGAAACTTTTTTAAGATAAAACATACGCGTTACTTGTTTCCGGAATGACTTCCACCAAATCGGGTATTTCTGAGTCGAGGCCTTCCATTTTTTTTTTTTTAAAAAAAATAGAGATTTTGACGTTCCCATTTTAGGATTTTAAATTAATCACCGCAGTATACTACAGGGTTTTTGCAGGGTCTGTGCATCAGATATTACAGATTATAAATAAACATAAATGCAGGTATTTTTTCTCACGTCAATAGAGATCGATATCGAATAAAAAAACAAATGTCAAAAATGATTCCAAAATTTGAGGTATTTATGTGTGTTCATACCTTTTAAATCGAATAATAAATTTTTTTTTTTTTTTTTTTTTTTTTCAATAAAGGTGTGTATCGATTCGGTACAATCTGCTATAAATGCGGGTAATCGTATATGATATAATTTTTTCATTCTTCTAAAAAAAGAAAAAAAAAAAAATTCATTCATTCAATCCATTTCAATCAAAAGAAGCCGGTGGGGCATCCCGTGTTGAGCTATGCGATAACCTCATGGAAGGTGGAACTACTCCAAGTTCAGGTATTATTAATTCGTTATTTTCCATCTTAAATATAAAAATAATCATTCACATTCTTTTCATGTGTTTAAATAACGTAGGAATGATCGTCACAATTCTGAACCGAGTGAAAATTCCCGTCATGGTAAAAGTTATTTTCTTCTAAATATTGAATTTATATGATAGATAATCAAAATAAAGCAAACCATTTGCCGATACTTTTTCTATTAGGTTATGATAAGACCTAGGTTTGTTTGAACTCCATGTCGATTTTTTTGAATTGTTCTATAATTGGTATATAAATTTGTATACTGTATACTGTATAAATATATTAGAGGCGGTGACTTTTGTTATAGCGAAGATGAAATTAAAGTTATGTGCTTAGATATTCAACACGCAAAATCGCTCGGAGCACATGGCGTCGTTTTTGGTATCTTGAATCCTGACGGAAGTGTAGACGTCGAAAGAGTCTCCAAGTATAAAATTCAAAAAAATTTCTGTTTTTGTCGATTGATAATATAATATGATTATTCTTTTTAGGTTAGTCGATTTGGCAAAACCCATGAAAGGTTTAATTTATTCTTTGAAATAAGCGTTTTATTTTCACACAGGCTTGTGATTTACATATATGTGTGAATTCCTTAGTGACCTTTCATCGAGCTTTTGACATGACAAATGATCCATTCAAAGCCCTTGAAGACATCATTTCAATTGGAGGAATTCAAAGAATTTTAACAAGGTAAATAAAGTAACGTATTAAATAAAAAAAAGGTAATTAATTTAATTCTAGAACAATCATAATTGTAATCCCATTATTTTACAAAGTGGGCATGATAGCTCCGTTTTAGAAGGTTTAGATACCATCGTGCAATTAGTGAAACAAGCCAACAGTCGCATTATAATTATGCCCGGCGGAGGTTTGTTTCAGTTTCTCCGTAGAATAATATAAAACGCTTGTTGACACATTTTTTTAACAATCACAGGAATTAAAGAGTCAAACATAGAAAGGATTCTATTTGCTGTCGGATTAGAAGAAATGCATGTATCAGCAAGTGCCGCTATCCGTTCTGTTATGGAGCACAACGTTTCAACCATACATATGGGTAGAGCTCATCACAATAACGAATATGTGATAAACGGGGTAAGTGAGGAAAGACTTAAAAGGATGATTTCCGCCGCTATCAAAGAAGTTCTTTCGTGATATATTCTGTTCAATATAGTTGGACTTGTCAAATAAGTTTATCAAAACCTTTTGAACTATACACAATTTCTAATTAACTATTATTGGAGTATTTTATATATAAATTTGTCATCTTACTCGAATATTTTAATGGACGATCAAAACTTTTCTTGATCTCATACAAATAAAAATTTCAAATTGACTAATACTTTTATGAAAATACTGGTTTACTGTAAACGAAAATACATATACATATATATAAAAAGCCCTTATTACACACATTCCGTTGAAATAAAATTATTTTTTAACCATTTTATCTCATCGTTTATTTGCGAATTACCCCCCCCCCTTTTTTTTCAAAAATTTATTATTATATAATTTATAATAATTTATCCAATTTATCCGAAATTTTTTAAAGAATTTTTTTCTTATAAAAATTTCTACTTTCTACCAATCACCGCAGTAACAAGAAAATTCGCCACCAAAAAATAAAAAAAAAAGGAAGAGCATGAAACATTTTCGATTTTTTTTATATCCTTTTCTTTCATTCATTTCAGTGGTTTATGGGTGTGGCATGAGTGTACATAATGAAGTAACAAAAAGAGCAATGTACACCTTTCGTCCTATAATACCAGAGTACAATAAATATGCTACATATTTACATAATTATCCTGAATTTGTTCAGGTAAGAATTAAAAATTGGATCATTTTTACATGATAAAAATTTGTGATTTAACTAATATGTAATCATTACTATACGGGATTTTTAAACACCTATTCTTTTTAAAGGCTGGGTCTTTTTTTCCAGATTGGTAAACAAATTTATTGATTGATTGATTTATATCTTTTGGTTTGGCTATATTTCCTTTTTTAAAAAGAAAGGAAATTTCTCTTAAAAATATAGGGGATACGGGTGTATGGGAAACGAGGATGTT